GTACGATAAGAACACAAACAAAATTATTAAAGTCCAAAAAGAATGCTAGTTTGGTTCATAATTCTACATATATGTACAAAGGATTCCGTATATTACTCTCCTAAGCAAGTCCAGTGAGCAGTTTTGGGCAAAATGCATATACACATACTTTGACTTGGTTGCTGGAATATGATTGGTTGCAAAGGAACAGTAGTGGTCAGAGAAACAGAGCTGATTAACCCTGGTTTTGCTGCTAGTGTCTATGAACTCCCTATGGAGAGAAACAGAAGAATCTATAAATGAGACTGAATTGTTCACTTGGATAATTTCCAAATTCTACAGCATTTGAGTTTAAAACTTAGTCACTGTTATTGGATTATTTAGATATATATTTCAAAGGTATGCCTGGAGTAGTTGTAATTACCCTTTTTTGAGATTTTGACGAATGGAATATCCTGGCATTCCTTATAAAAGAATCTCCAAGAAAAAAAAAACTTGGATAAAAATAATTATTCCACTACTTCTAGTAAATAAGGTACACTGAAAAATCTGCAAATTCTTTAAAAGCAATCAAAGGATGGCTGAGAGGTGCCTCTTAAATTTACAATGAGACAGAAGAATCAGACATATAAAAAGGGAGTGATTATATATTATTAGGCATAGACAACAGTACCTGAAGATATATTCAATGCCTTGACATGTGCCATCAGGAGAAACAAAGGCAGATGAATCAATAACTCCAGTTACTCCAAAACAAATTTCTGGCACTCCTGCAATATAAAACCAAAAGAAAGAATCAATTATTAGCTTCTAAGAACCTGATAAATTTACTGGAGAAATGTTAATTCATAGATTATGGGGAAGCAGAGATCAAAAGGCTCACCTTTCCTCCTCTTCCTGTCACTGAGAGCCATTGGCAGCTCATATGGGAGCATGGATATCGAAGAAGGATTTTTCCAGTCATATCCAATACTGAGATCATACCTTTTCCTAATGTTCAGAAGGGAGGAGGCTTGGAATCTGATAAAATTGCTTAAGTTGCCTTTGCTGCCAAGATATTATTAAGAATCAGATTCAAGACCATCTTATGCAGGCTCAAAGAATCAAGCATATGATGATATTTGACTTCTAGAATCAAGTCATAAGTTGTGTGGATTGAAAAATCACAAGCACCAAGAGCAAGGAACTTGAAGCTTCAGAAGACTGACTGCAGTAGTATCTCAGAACATAGAAGTTAACTTGGTGAAATCATCAGTGCAATCAAGCTTAAAGATCATTTGAAAGCTGAAGTATCCCACACATCTGAAGGTATGGATTCTCAAGCAGCTTTTCATTGTTGCTCTGAAATCAGCACAGACCATATATCTCAGTGACAGATAAGACTAATTTCTAAAAATAGCAACATGATAAATTGCGTTATATATTGTTCAGACCAAAAAAAGAAAAAAAGAAAAAAAGAAGGGAGCTAAGTTGCATTATATGTTAGCATATAATTCCAATGTATAAAACTAAGCAACAAAGGGAGAATTTTCCATTCTTCAGGTCTGAAAACTGAATCCAAAATTAGCTAACAAAGTAGAAAATCAGATAACCACGTAATAAGGTGACTACTAAGTTGTAACACCCACAAATAAACATAAAAAATATGAATGCAATGGTCAGTTTTTCCCATAAAACCAACACGACGGTCAGAATGCTTGCATTGATGCATCAACTACTGGACATTCATTCAACAAGAACACTGCTAAACAATAAAATGTTGTTAGTGATGCAGGCCAAGTTGACTATTCAAGTCACACATCACTTTCAAGGAATCCCAACAACACACAGCATTTTAATTCACATTCATTATAAAGAACTGATGTAAATCATCAAACCAAGTAAAAAATATTAGTATTCTGTGACTGCAGTCAGGAACTTCAGACAAAAACTGAATCAGCTTATACCTGCTGAGCTTTTAAAACAAGCTTCTGTAGCATATATTGGTACTTCTCTGGTTTTTCAGTCATCATTCTCTGCAAAATTGAATGCTTGAATGACTTAGTGAAAAAGTATAATCCTGAATTAAACGAGTTAACAGAGCCTGGGGAAATGATGGACACAGTATTCTTGCCTTTAAAAGAAAAGCTGAAGAGTAATATGCCACTCTTGAATCAGTATCATCTAAAAGTTCCCTGACAAAAACAAAAGTTCATGACAAAAGTACCACATCCCATGACAAAAGCAGATAAAAACTACACTGTCATTCTATTCTTAAAGAGCAGAGAAAGTGAGAAACATGAATTCACCTGAAAAAATCTTCCCCACCAACTTCTTGGAAGGCAGAAGTATCTGCAGTACATTTACCAATCAACAGCAATAGAAGGGTAGCCCGAATATCTGAAGTGGCACCTGGAAGGTTCCCCCTTCCTTTGCTCCCAACAGCAACACCCAAAGCAATATTGTCTGTCGCTGCACCAGCAAGTTGAATTAAAGGCCAATAAAACAAAGGAGCTGGAACACGTGCAACTAACTGCATGGGAACAATAGCCAGTTCTTGAAGGAACAGAGCAGCCATTGAAGATGTCTGAGGTATCAGAGGACTCTTAAAACCATATACTGCTTTGCTATCAGTTTCTTCCATATATTCATCCCAGAGATTATTCTCTTGTAGAGAAACATGCCCAGTAGCATTAATTTTCCTATTTTCATAAGTGCCATTTGAAACTTTACTCGGTTGTATTGTATGTCCAAGAGAAATTGTACTTGGAGGAGCTTTCAAGAACAATTGAGAGAATAGAATGTCACACATCTGTTCAGAAGCACCAAGAAAATGATAGTGAGGCATGCAGATTATTTATGATTGTTAATTTCTTATTTGGAAATGTTGCACAAGAATTTCATAAATAATGCAAAATCCATTAAATTGGCATTAATAGAATATTTATTTCACTAGGAGGAAAAAAAAAACACCACCTAGTAAACCCCCTATTTCTTCAAAAATAGAAATAGATAGCCCATTCGGCAGGAAACATATAGGAGCCAAATGCATGAGATGTGAAGTACAGTATGCTATTCATTTTATTCCATTGGTTCACACATCTAAACCTCAATCCCATCAAATACAGAAACCTTGAGAACAACAACGAACAAATGTTATCCATAACAGCACCCACAACAGACTTCAGGGATATAAAAGTGAACCAGCAAAAAGATCCTTTTTTTAAACAACAAATTTAAGGTGACTGAAAAGAAAAAGACAACACATAAGCTTCTCAAATCCATCTGGAAGTTGATGAAAAATGTACCTTCAAAATATTGATGCGGTCTGTTTCATTTATTTGGACCACCAAGAATAGAGCACTGCTCATAATGTCTATCACTACATTTGCTTTCTCAAGTCGGGTCTCTCTATGATCATGGCCAACTTTGCTGTTGCTTGAATGTTGCATTTCAATCTCATCTAACAAAAATTTGCATCGCATGAGAAGCCTCTCCAGAATGAACAGGAAACCCCATCGAATTAAGTTGCTTTTCGACTTCAGAAGCCCAGAAAATAGTAAAATAGAATAAGGCACATCAGAAGTGACTGAAGCATCATGAACACCAGCATGAGCAATTTTATGCTGCAAGCTTTTTATGTTAGACCACATATTCCCATCCCCTGCCTCACTTATTTCTGCCATAAGCAGATCCCCTAACCATATAAACCCATTTTTACGATAATCCATTCTTTCTGAATGAAGAAGAGAATGTAAAGTTGCCCAAGAAAGCTTCACTTTCATGTTAATAACATTGTGAACCATGTCCTGAATGCTGTCCATAGATTTGTAAGACTTAGTCATCTGTTTCAGGTGCAAAAACTCTTTTTCTAAATGAGTAAATGAACTTATTATTCTATCAAATTTCTCTGTCATGCTCTCCAATAGCTGCAAAGGGGAAAATTAACATAAATTTAGAATATGGTGGAATTGATAAGGGAAATAGAAGGAGGACTTACAAAATGGTGGAATTGATAAAAGTTGTGAACCTTGATTAACCTATGCAAGGTTGATCACCCAAACCAAGGGGCTGATGACTAACATGGTCAGATACAAATTAGAAAATACCCAGCAGAAACAATTCTGATTTGCAGCAGACCAGATTTAGGAACTAACTCTGTTTCTTTTTCTTTTTTTTTTTTCTTTTTCCTTTTCTTTTTTTTTTTAAAATAAAAATAAAATTCAATCATTGCAGAACAGATTAAAGCTCCACTTTCTAAAGTAAACCACAGAATTTTATATTTGCACTATCTTTTGGTTGGCCAAAAAAAAGTTAAATTTGCATGTGTGTGTGTGTGTGTGTGTGTGTATTTATTTATTTATATGCATAGCGTGTTCACACATGTGTGAGTAGTATAGACACCAAGAGTCTAAAAATATTCATAACATTCATGAGACATTACCATATTTAGGCGTTCACTGTTAGGATATCTGGACAATGCAGCAGAAATTGATCTTCTCAAAAGCTCCCCAATACCTTCCACCCCCAACTTAACTGAAATGTAAAAGGCCTCAGGTGCATCAGCCAAAGAGAGCAAGGTTGCAAGAGGTTGTATATCCTCATCATTATATTCAGAAACTCCAGTAGATGCACATGTTTCATTTATTTGATGCAAAACATAGTCAAAAAGAACTAAGTATAGATTTCTTCTTTCTTCCCTTGTGTTTGCCAGTGAATACTGCACATAGAAATTGAAAAAAAGAAACTTATGTTAAAATATTTCTAAAATTTAAATGGACAAGGATAATATGAATTACAGAAACCATTATAATAGTGAAAGGAATCGCAAAATCTTCACCATGATCAATATTATTCATTTAAATTTAAAACAGGTCAAAACTTAGTGCAATTACATAAAGTAAACAATCCTTAGGTCCAACAGCTTCAGATTGCACATACTTCACATCATCATTCAAAGTACTAGTGATTCCCCAGACATTCACCTCTCACATAAAGTTTATTCATGAAAATAGAAAATTGCCAGTGCTTAAATGCTATCTAAAACGGAGATGGAACCATATTTTACAGACTTTTGTTCTTACATTCAAGTCACTAATGAATAGGAAAATGCTTCTTCATTACAGATAATAATATTACACTAGCTATGAATGGCACAACACTGGACCAGTTCAGTAGTATTTCTTAATCCCACAATGTCAACTTAATTGGCATACCTCATATAAAATAAACTCCATTCCTCCAATCAGATCAACCTGGTCCACAAGAAAATTTGGGGTACTTGAGGGTGCAATACTAGGTTCATCAGCAACTACATACAACATGTTTGTTAAGATGCCAATAAGCTTGCACTGAACAACTTCCGCCCAAGAATTTGTTCTGCTAACCTGAACAAGTGCCTTGACAGCCTGAAGATGTATACGGTGAAGAGAATAAACTACCCATGAAACTCATGGTTTTATTGACATAAAGCAAAACTAGCTTCATCAGCAGATACAATGGCATGAAAAAAAATGGTATTGTGTTCCTAACAGTTTCAGGAAGTAATTGGCCAGAAAAGAAAGACCAACTCACCCTTATATCAAGACCTTTTAAGCGGCTTCTCCTGATTTTTCCTTTATCACAGACAAAATATAGTAAACAACTAAGAGCAGAAGCCCAGACAGATTCTTCCTTCTCTTCAGTCTGCAATAAATATCAAGAACAGGAGACCAAAACTAATGACGATAAACAGCATCAAGTGGTATCAATAAACAAATTTGCATAATTTAAAAAAAAAATTCCAGGCCCCTATTTTCACAAGAAATCATGATCAGGTTTGTTCTTGTTAAATTGACAAACTCAATTAAAAGGGTTGTATATAACATGTACCTGAACAAGAAGAAGAAGTATCTCAAATAAAATGTTTAAGATCCAAGACTCAAATTTATCAATAGCTGAGAAAGTGTCCACCTTCTTCATTGAATCTATTTTTCTTATCCCTTCTGCTGTAAGTTTATCTCCAGTGTTCAACATCAATTCTTCAGAATACTCTTCTTCAATTGTAGAAGTATCATCAATTATCATTGGCTCTAACAATTGACCATGGACCCCAAGGTTCAGAATTAAATCAAAAGCACACACCCTACAAGCTGTTTTCGGAGAACTAAGCATTTCCTGAAAGGAAGTTCATGTTAAAAGACATAAGAAATAGAAGGAGCTTTCAAAATTCTTCCACTATGAAGAAATCAATGTACAATTGATGTTGCACCTCGAGCATAGAGAGAGTTAGTGGAGAGGCAGTTCCAGAATCCAAGACATACCTACAAAACAATATCATCAATGATTTAGTCCAACATCAATAAATTAATTAGACAATACAAAATAACATACGAAAGAAAAATTAAAGGCAAGAACAACATAGGCAAAGAAGTTGATTGACAGAAATCTGATCCACTCGACCTTCAAACAACTGGTGTTCTTTCTTCTTTAGATAGAAGGAACCCATAGTAGATGTTTATAAATACTGTCTCTCAAAAGCAGTACTTCTTAGCTTTTTTTTCTTCTTCTTCTTCTTTTTTTTTTTTTGGCCAAAAGCAGTACTTCTTAGCTTAAAAGGTCTTATCCAAGCCAAATTAATACAACTCAAAACATGCCACATTATGACTAAATTCAAAGATATAATATGTTCAATTGAGATGATTACACAAAATAAATAAATTCATGAATACTCATTAAATAACAATTGACATATAGAACGTTTGAAGTATTTCAAAAGCATGATAATATCAGGGATATAGGTTTCCAGGGAAAGGGCTTTTACCAGCCTCTATAATGATTTTGAAACAATTTTATTTAAAATCAGGCTACACATGAAATTACAGAAGCTATCAAAAGAAATAGAATGCATCAGTTGACTATGTAGAAGTTTAACATATAAATATGAGATTCCACAAAAGCAATACTAACAAAACAGAACGTACATGTCAATAACAAGCTTAATTAGAACGCTCACAGCCACATCCATCGATGGCTTTCCCATGCTATTACTCAATCTAGATGAGAATGTCATACTATTAGCAGTTGGAGAAGATGTCTCAGAGCAAACTGCAGCTATAACCTCGCATACCTCAGCAGCATTTAATCGCAGAGGTTGTTGATCACTGTTACAAACAAAACCATTTCACGAGACAAAATTAAATAAAGTAATGAACTATGGAGCTAAACAAATGACTTTGCAACAATACTGAGAATAATGTGAAACTTAAATAACTTTGCCTCATATTAGAAGAAGATTTTAAGTGTAAGCCAGAACACAAAGAATGACGCTTGGCTAAAAGAAATCAAAAGCCGGTACTGCTTGTTGATGTTTCAGAATCAACTTAACAAAATGTCACCAAATTAATTACTACGGTGCTATTACCATTAAATACATGGGAAAAAGAAAAAGGCCATTTTGTATTTCTCTGTAATAGTAGAAGATGAAAGCTCATCACTAGGAGGTGAAACAAAATTTATGGCATTTACCCCAAGTTACTCAGACACAAGACATAAATATGGCATATAAGAGATAACTTATAGGCCTCAAATTATGTACCTGTAGTGACGGTATTGGAAGAGAGGATGTGCACGTGGGCGGAATGTGCTCATAGGAGAATCATCCCTGGGAAAGAAAGGAAGTGCAATATTCACATAACTTTATATCAATTATCACATGTTTAAACATTAAACATTAATATCTGAAGAAAGGCAAGTGTTAAAGATGGGAATATGGCAGCTGGCTAACAGGATGAGGAGTGATCCCTGTCCCAAACATGCCTTATCACCATTACTAAGAGAGAAAATGTAACAAGCACATCTAATCAATAATTTGAGAGACGGAACAGACCAAATTTGATGAGGTCCAGCTTTAGTGCGTTTTAATGCTGCTATTGCTCTTAAGTGAGAACGCTCAGAAGCAGAATTAGTAACTGTTGTGACTGATGAAGGCTGCAACAGCTGATCAAGATAAGGCAAATTGGTGGTGCCATAATATTTCCAATGCTGCCCCTTCATTTTAGCCTCCACATCTCCAACAAGTAGAGCTGCTGCTCCCAGTTCTAGGAAATTGTGCGTTCCCACATCTTGAATGTTCACAGCACGATCACTGCTGTATGAATGCAGAGTTCATCAGGTGATAAAGTTCATTTTTAAAGCAAAAAATACAGAATAGTCCCATTACCAAAAGTGATAAAACAAACCGCTACAATACTACAATTTAAGACTTAATGGTTATGTTAAAGAAGATATTACCTCTCAGAAAAAGAAGAAGGTGATTGTCGTTCCCCTATCCAGCGCCAATTTAGAACATCAAATGCAAGGTATTCTGGATTTTCCATTCCTTCAACTTCCTCAATATTTGATAAGTTTGAAACAGATAAAGTTGCAGCATCTTTCTTATCTGAAGATTCTCCATTTGTAGGGCACAGGTGGGACTTGAAGGATTTACTTAACAAAGATGACAAAGTTGGAAGGGACTGTCTTGATGCAAATGTAGCTCCAGCAAAAGCAGCTGGTTGGAATGACCGCTTTGGAATATGTTGAGCCACAAGTGAACGAACATAATTCAATGCCTTAACAAGAGCAACAGAAGCAAAACTAGATACAGGCAAAGAAGAAGAAGCATTTGCAGATGCTTTTGATGGACCAGATTGTTGATTCAAAGATTGGGACCATGGTGACAATCTCTGGTTTGGGCTAATATCACACTCAGCAATTATGATAAGACAAAATCGATCTATGTTAAGCAATGTCTCTTCACTGGGCTTATACCTGTTTAAGATTATCAGGA